TACAGCCACTATGGAAAATAGTGTGGAGGTTCCTCAGATAACTAAAAATAGATCTACCCTATGCCCCAGCTATCTCACTACTGCATACATATGCAAAGGAAATGAAATCAATGTATTAAAAAGACACCTGCATTCTCATGTTCATCACAGCACTATTCACAATTGCCGAGAGATGGAATCAACCTAAATGTCCATCAGTGGATGAACTGGATTAAAAATCTGGCATATAGGGGCCGGCCCGGTGGCGCACTGCTGCAGTGCGCTGCTTGGGAGTGCGGCGGTGCTCCCGCCGAGGGTTCGGATCCCACATACAGACTGGTTCCTGCTCACTGGCTGAGCGAGGTGCGGGCGTGGCACCGAGGGTTGTGATCCTGTTGCCGGTCCCGGTCCGGTATGGGCGCGACACTGAGGGTTGCGATCCGTTGCTGGACACGAAAAAAAAAAATCTGGCATATATACACAACGGAATACTACTCAGCTATTTAAAAAATGATGTCCTATTGTTTGCAGCAACATGGACCTGGAAACCATCAGGTTAAGTAAGTCAGGCACAAAAAGATAAATACTGCATGATATCACTTACATGTGGAATCTAAAAAAAAGTTGGTTCTCATAGGAGTAGAGAGTAGAATAATGGTTACCAGAGGTGGGGTGGGGGAGGAGAGGAAGGAAAGTGGTTAACTAATGGGTACAAAATTGTGCTATCTACGCTAAGTGAATCATTGTGGAGTATATGTATGTATTGAAACAACACACTGTACCCCACAAATATGAACAAGTAAATGTTAAAATATTTTGAATAAAATAATAAATATATACTACAATTTGTTTTCTATAGGTTTTATATCTTTTTCTTCCTCAATTCCTTCATTACGCCCTTCTTTTGTATTTAATAGATGTTTCCTAGTGTACCATTTTGATACCCTTATTTCTTTTAGTATGTGTATTTATTTTCTTGGTGGTAGCTCTGCAGATTACATTTAACATCTTAATTTATAGTAATCTAATTCAGATTCACACCAACTTAATTTCAGTAGTATTTAACAGCTTTGGTCCTATATATTGTTACTGTCACAAATTACATCTTCGATCCCCTTATATTGTTACTGGCACAAATTACATCTTTATACATTGTGTGCCAATTGCCATAGATGTGTAGTCTTTTGTTTTGTTTTGTTTTTATACAATTGTCCTTTAAATCCCATGGGCAAAAATGAAGAGTTACAAACCAAAAATATATTAATACTAACTTTTATATTTACTTATGTAGTTATCTTTACCAACATTATTTCTTTGTGTGGATTTGATTTACTGTTCAGTGTCTTTTTATTTCAGGTGAAAGACTACCTTTAGCATTTCTTATAGCTAAGGTCTACCAGTGATGAACTCTCCCAGTATTTTTTTGGTGTTGTTGTTGTTTGTTTGTTTATTTGGTAATGTCCTAATTTCTCCTTAATTTTTGAAGGATAATTTTTCCAGATATATATTTCTTGGTAGAGAGTTGTGGGTTTTGTTTTTATCTTCTTTTAGCATTTTGAATATGTTATCCCACTGCCTCCTGGCCTCCATGGTTTCTGATGAGAAGTCAGCTGCTAGTCTTACTGGGGATTTTTTGTGTATGAGTAATTTCTCTTACTGCTTTCAAGATTCTCTGTGTTTGGCTTTCAACAGTTTGGTTATAGTGTGTCTCAGTGTGGATCTGAGTTTATCCTATTTGGAGTTTGTTGAGCTTAGATGTATAGTTTGATGTATTTCATTAAATTTGGGAAGGGTTTGGTCATATTTTTTCAAGTATTCTTTATTACCCTTTCTCTCTCTCTCCTCTCCTTCTGGAACTCCCATTATATGTATTTAGTATGCTTGATGGTGTTCCACAGGACTCTGAGATGGTTCATTTTTCTTCATTCATTTTTGTTTATGTTACTCACGTAGCAATTGTTATTTTCAATTGGCCTATCTTCAAGTTCATTAATTCTCTCTTTTGCCTGCTGAAATCTACCATTGAGCCCCTAACAACTGAATTTTTAACTTTAGTTATCATAGTCTTCAACTCCAGAATTTCTATTTGGTTCCTTTTTGTAATCTCTGTCTCCTTATAAATATTCTCCATTTCATGAGACGTTGTTCTCATTATTTTCTTTAGTTATTTAGATGTGGCTTCCTTTAAATCTTTGAGCATATTTAACATATTTCATTTAAAGTCATTGTTTAGTAGATCCAATGTCTGGGCTTCCTCAGGAACAGTTTTTATTATTATTATTATTATTATTTTATTTTTTGCTCCTGTGTATGGGTCATACTTTTTTTGTTTCTTTGCATGCCTAGTGATTTTTTTGTTGTTGAAAACTGGGCACTTTGGATTTTATAATGTGGCAACTCTGGAAATTATATTCTCCCTCTTTCCCAGGGTATGTTGTTTCTGCTTGTCATAGTTGTTGTTTATTTGTTTAGTGACTTTTCTGAACTGATTTTATGAATTCTATATTCTTTGTCATGTGTGGCCAAAGAAGTCTGTTCTGTTAGCTCAGTGGCAGCTAGTTATTTGACAAAAATTTCCCTTTAAGTCTGGAATAAAAAAATCTCCCATCCTTTGCATATGGACTTTGTGTGTGTGTTGGAGCGTGAGCATACCTTTTACATGGCAGGCAGTTTACAACTCTGCCTTAGCCTTCATCTTTTGCTTGTGTAGAGCCTCACTGTCAGCCAGGGGTGAAAGCTAAGGGCCTTGTTAGAATTTTTCTGAGCATGAATGCAGCCCTGGGCATGTATATGTGTGGTTTTCCAGATTCCCAGGAATATTTGTGAGCTTTTCAAAGCCTTTATTCCTCAAAGCATCTCATTCTGTCAGCCTTTCCTCTAACTTTTCAGTTTGTCTGTTGTCTGCCCTAACTGTCATCCCTTGCCCCAGACAGCAGCAGCTCGAAATATTTTTGACAAATGCCCCCTTGGTAGCTGCATCAGTCCTGGGATAGTTCCAAATTAGTTGAATGCCCTTTGAGCCAGTCTTTCAAGGAGCCACCAGACAGGTCAAAACAAACAACCACAATTCTTTGAGAATTAATCTGGTCTGCTCCTTCTGTACTTGGTACCTATACTGGGGATCTAGATTGTTATCTTTAAAGTTGCTGCCAAACTGGGGAGTTGGGGATGACACCAGTTAAGTTAAAATGTTATAAAACTTACTGAGATTCAGCGATTTGTTGTTGTTGTTGTTTAAACATTCCCCTAATTACTGTGAGCTTTTGATTAGATTGTAGAGTTCCAAAAAAGGTGATTTGGATAGTTTTTCTGGTTTATTCATTGTGTGACTGGACTGACATTTGGGGTTCCCTATTCCACTATTTTTGATGATGTCCTCTATTTTCACAGGCTTTAAAAAAAATTCCCTTTTTATCTGCATACTACTATTCTAGATCTAGTTTTTATTACCTTACATCAGGACTATTTTAGGAACTCTTAGACTGATGTCACTAATATACCACTACCTCCTTGATCATGTGACTTCCCTCTTAAGAAATCTGAAGCTCACAGTTCCTCCTTGCCTATCAAGTGATGTCTTCAAGCTCTAGTCCCAGCATGGCTTTCCAAATTTATCTCACTATTCCTTCTAACCTTATTCCCATGCTATGTTTTGATAAAGCCACACTGTGATGCTTCTCCCAAGTATGTGGTTTGCTTTCTGTATTAGGGCTCTCCAGAGAGACAGAACCAATTACATATATATGGCATATACGGCACCTACTTTTTGTTATATATATACAGAATGTATATAAAAAATATATAAAATATATTTATAATAATGTAGATATATGAGAGAGGATTTATTAGGGGAATTGGCTCACATGATGATGGAGGCTGAGAAGTCTTATGACAGGCCATCTACAGGCTGGAGCCCTTGGGATGCCAGTAGCATTGCTCATCCAACTCTGAAGTCCTTAGAACCAGGAAAGCCAATGATGTAATTCTCATTCCAAGACTGAAGGCCTGAGAATCTGGGGTTGTGGGGGAGTGCTGGTATAAGTCCTACAGTCAAAAGGTCAGGGAGCCTAGAGTTCTGATGTCCAGGGACAGGAGAGAAAGAGTGTATCCAACCTCTGTCAGATAGATTGACCCATTCGTCTTTTCTCTGTTTTTGTTCTCTTTGGGCCCCCAGCTGATTGGATGGTGCCTGCCCACACTGAGGGTGGATCTTCCCCACCTAGTCCACTCAGACTCACATGCTAATCTCCTCTGAAAAGACCCTCACAGACACATCCAAAAATAATGCTTTACCAAGTTTCTAGGCATTCCTTAATCCAGTCAAGTTGACACCTAAAACCATCACACTTTCCGTTATCTGCTCTGGCACCTCCATTAATGCTGTTTGCTCCCCATCTGGATTGTCCTCTACCCTCACCTTTGCCTACTGAGGCACTACCCATCTGTTAAGAATCAGCTCACGTTGCAGCCTTTCTATGAGGTCATTCCGAATTACTTCAACACAAACTAATCTCTCCTTCCACTAAATTGCTATGACATTTTTATGTCATTTACATGATGTATGTCACATATTGCTTGCATGATTATTTTCCAGGTTAAGAGTGAAGGGAGAATATGACAGGCTGAGGGGACAACATGTCAGAAGGTGCTGGGGCAGTCTGCATGCCTTCCCTTTTTTACCAGAGTCAAAGAAACATTTCCATAAGCATGGTGCTTTGTACTTACTGCACAAGAAGTGTAAGAATTAATGAATAAACATTGAGAACAGGAGTAGATCTGATAAGAAAGAAAATGAATCCAGTGATAAAGAGGGAGCAGAATAAAAGTGAACTGCCAGAAATTAAGATCATTTGAATTCATTTTTTTTTCACTAAAGTAGTAGTAGTAGTAATAGTAGTAGTGGAAACAACAGCTAACATTTATCGAGTGCTTACTCTGGGCTAGGAATTGTGTAAGAGCTTTATGTGTGTCATTTTATATAACTTCTAAATTGTGTGCTGTCTGCTCTTCCTTTTCTGCAGTCTCTTGAAGCAGTGTTCAGATGTGGAGCTCTCCTTCCCACAGCAACCAGAAGGCTCCAACCTCTTCTGTGGTACAAAGAGGGGAACACTGTTTCTCACTTCATACAGGGTAATTTCTACTTTTACTTTGATTTGCTGATTAACTCTACATTGTTTTCCTTAAAATGGAGAGAAGTTACACATTGACTTTCAAAGTATTTTAAAACTTTTGCACTTTGAGGTTTCCCACATTGAAGAGCAGTGGAAGAAAGTAGGAGATGTTTCTCAATTAGGCCAGAATGCCAAAGCAGCCTTGGCTTTGCTCTTATAGCTCTCAACTCATGGACGAATTCTGCACTCCTTTTCTAAATTTTCTTTCCTTGCTTAGGTGATTTTCGTGACTTCACGCTCAGTCAATGATCCCATGTTGTCTTTTATGATGCCATTTGATCTGATGGATAACTGCTCCGTTGAACAACCTGTCTTTGCTGCAAACTACATTAAAGGAATCATTCGGGCAGCTCCAGATGGTAAGTGTCCCCCCTCAAAAATGTGTTTTTTTCTCAAAGGCTTCTAGAAGGTTTGAGATTGAGACTTGACTCAAGTTGGAATTCAAATAAAAGCTGCCCTGCTTCTTTGGCTAGTGCTTCCCTCAGTGTTTGTGGCAGTCCTGTTTCCAGGACTGAGACCAGCTGTACCAGTCTCTTACTGAGTGTGTGCCATTTCTTTCTGTAGGTGGCTGGGAAGGACAGGCTACTTTTAAATTAATCTTCAGAAAAGGAGGTGCCATCGAATTTGCCCAGTTGATGATGCGAGCTGCCTCTTCTGGTAGGTGATGCTGATAAAAGCATTAAGCATTTTGAGGTTTTGAGACTTGTAGAATTGAAGTAGCCAAGATTTGCTGGCCTTTGTGGTTAGGCAGTTGGAAGTTGCACACGTATTCAGTAGGCATTTCCTGAGCCTACCTTTTTTTTTTTTTGTCTTTTTTTGTCTTTTTCCGTGTCCGGCAATGGATCGCAACCCTCAGTGTTGCCCCCGTACCGGACCGGGGACCGGCAACGGGATTGCAACCCTCGGCGTCGCTCCCGCGCCTCGCTCAGCCAGTGAGCGGGAACCGGTTTGTATGTGGGATCCGAACCCTCGGGCGGGAGCGCCGCCGCGCTTCCCAAGTGGCGCACTATCCAGTTCACCACCGGGCCAGCCCCTGAGCCTACCTTCTATGTGCCAAGTCCCATACTATGTGCTGGGAACACAAAGATTATTCAGTCCCTCCCTGTCCTGAAGGAGCTTACAATGTAGTGGGAGCTTATAATTAGACGCCTAATGATTAATTATACCTGATAGTCTTTTGTCCGTTTAAATGCTGGTCTCATATATAGATTATTCAGTCCCTCCCTGTCCTGAAGGAGCTTACAATGTAGTGGGAGCTTATAATTAGATGCCTAATGATTAATTATACCTGATAGTCTTTTGTCCGTTTAAATGCTGGTCTCATATATCCATTGAGCAGTCTCTTGTTCAGGTCAGGGAGCCCCAGTTGCCTTAGCTATTCTTCCTCCGGCATGGCTTTTTATCTTCTCTCCTCTCTGGCATTGCCTCTTCTACTCTTAGGTTTAGTCCCTTTTGGGGAGTAGAGGTACTATCAAGCCCTAAAGCACTGATCTAATGGATGTATCAGAGAACGCTTTTAGACTCTGACTGCAAATAATCCTTTCATGATATATTTTTATTCAACGTAGGCTCCCTCATGCCTCTTCCTATCTTACCCTTTATACTCCAATCAAACTGGACTTCCTGGTGCCTTATTCCCTCTTATCTCTCAGCCTTCATGCTATTTGCTGTGTCTGGAATGCTCTTCCCCTTTCTCCCTTGTCTTCCACCCCCAACTCCAATCTAGCTGAGACAAACACAGTCTAGTAGAGACAGACATATGCAGATGCATTATCATATCTCATGGCATGTGCTATAATGGAGGCATGGACAGAGTGCCAGAGAAACACAGAGAAGGATGGAGTGAGTTTCTAGCTTAGAAAACTGAATGGCTCATGATGCTTGCTATAAACCATTGTGAAAAATATAAGAGACAGTCTAAGTTAGAGAAGAAATAAGTTCAATTTTAGATATAATTATACTGGGCAGTGTTCCAAGTTCTTTACATGTGTCAATTTATTTAATCTTCACAAAAACCCTATGATGTAGGTACTATCATTATCCCCAGTTTACAGCTGGGGAAACTGAGTCAGTGATAGTTATGTAATTTCCCAAGGCTATATAGTTAGCAAGTGACGGAGCTGGAATTCATACCCTGAACCTACCCTCTGTCTCTTTTAAAACTTTTTACTATATAAAAAAAAGTCAGATCTATGGAAAAGTTGAAGAATATTACAATGAATTCTCTTTATCTAGATTCATCCATTATTAACATTTTCCCACATTTGCTTTATCTTATTCTTTTCTTACTTTTGTTTTTGCTGAACTATTTGGGAGTAAGTCACAAGGATAATTTCCGTCATTTTTAAATTTTGAAAAGTGTATCTCCTAAGAACAAGGGCATTCTCTTGTCTAACCTCAGTGTACTTATCAAATTCAGAAAATTTAACATTGATACAATATTATTATTTAATATATTGTTTATATTCAAATTCAAATGATTGTCGCATTACTGTTCCTAATTTTAATAGTGCCCCCCACCCCATTTTTTTCCAATCCGGGATCTAATCCTGAATTACACATTGAATTTAGTTGTCCTATTTCTTTGGTCTACTTTAATCTGGAATTCACCCTTTGTCTTTCATGACATTGACATTTAAAAAAGAATACAGGCCTATTGTTTTGTAGAATGCATCTTAATTTGGGTTTGTCTGTTTCCTCATGATTTTATTCAGGTCATGCATTTTGGCAGGAATACTAAGTGATGTTGTATCCTTTTGAGCCTTTACTCTTAACCCCTGCACCATATTAAGTGTGAGGTACATGGGGATACTAGAGGCCACTGGACATGCAGTCTGGGGCTGCAAAGATGAGCTCTTTATAGAGACCAATTTGGAAATAACACACCGGTCATCTCTGGAGTGATGTGAGTGATGGGCTTACTCAGCAATTTGAGGATAGAGTTCCAAGGGTCCTCAACATTTAAGGAAAGGGAAGGGAGTAAGTGGTCTGCAAAGAAGATTGAGAAAGGGTTGACTGAGAGGGAGGAAGAGAATTGAGTGAGTTTATTATCCCAAAAGTCAAGGGAGGAGAAAGTTCAAGAATTATGAGGTGATCATCCATGTCAGCTGTTTCAGAGATGTTTGGTGAAATGAAGACTGAAAAATGTGTATTGCATGTAGAAATTAAGGTTTGTTGATGGTAGAAAGAGAGATTTCAGTAAAATGCCAGAGAAGAAAGGTGGCAGAAGAGCTATATTATAGGAAGTTGGGGAGTAAGAAAATGTTTTATAGTTACCTTTAATGATGTAGTGCAAAGATAGAAAGGCCAAGAAGTTCACAAGTTGTACTCAACTGACAGCTCTTCAGTAGTCCAAAGGGCACACAGCATCGGGAAGCCTAAAATCAGATAACAGGTTGTGTCTAGGCAGACAAAGGGAGTATAGCTATGGGAAATCCAGGGTCAGTGGACACTAGGAAGTTTAGTCCTTTGTTGCTACAGATGTCTAGGGAACTCAGGACAGTTGCATACTGAGTCTTGAATTCACTCTAATTTTTGGCCATACAGTACTGAAGAAGGCCTTTTTTTTTTAGGATTATGAGCTAAAGGGTCAGGCAATGTTAGCAATTCCTCTTTCTGCTCTCATTAAAATCGGCTTCTTGGCTTGCAAAGCTAGGTTCAGGGTCTCAGCACTTGCACAGCCCCTTGGAAAGGATTTAAGCAACTTATATGAACTTGGCCCACTGTCTGGAACAGCTCTGGGTCTGATTATAGCATGGGTTAGGTGTGGGAACCTACCCTCTCACCCTTCTCCCCATAACCCAAGTTTCAAGGCTTCTGAGACAGACATCCTTGAGGCCCTTGGAGTTAACTACCAATCATGCTTTACAATCTGATTCTTTGACCAGAATAGATTTCCTTCCCCTCTGCAGAGCTGATGTGTCAGGGCTCTTTGATTTATGTTTTTTAACACATACATATTGAATACCTATTGTGTGCCAAATGCTAAGTGAGACAATTGGGAACACAACAATGAACAAGGCACACATAGTCCCTGTCTTTACTAAACTTACAGTCTAGTGAGAGTCTTATATCAAATAAGCAAACATGTAAGTGAATAAAATAATTAGTTATTGTGGGAAGTACTATAAAGGACATTAATAGGATATTGAGAAAGGAAGACAATGGAGTATTGAGGGCAACTTCAGATTTATAGTGAGTTAGTTTGGATAATGCTAGCTGCAAAAACAGATAAACCCCAATTATCAATGCTTAAGATGGTAGAGATTACTACTTGTGTAAAGGCTAATCAGCAGAGGCAAGAGGAAGCTCTGTTCCACATAGTCATTCAGGGATCCAGTCTCTGCCATCTTTAACATATGACTTCTATGGCCTCTTTGGACAGTCAGCAGAGAGGGGAAGAGAGTAAACATCTCACCTGGTATATTAGTCTGTTTCCTGTTGCTTATAATAGAATACCTGAAATAGGGTAATTTATTAAAAAAAATAGAATTTATTTCTTACAGTTTGGAGGCTGGGAAGTCCAAAGTTGAGGTATGCATCTGGTGAGAGCTTTCTTCTTGTAGGGGACTGTCTACAGAGTCCCATGGCCACACAGGGTATCACACGGCAAGAGGCTGAGCAAGAGCATATGTTAACGTGCTCACTTGTTCTTGTAAAACCACCAGTCTACTCCCTGATAACCCATTAAACCATTAATCCATTAATCCGTGAATGGATTAATCCATTCTTGAAGGCATAGTCCTTACAATCCAATCACCTCTTAAACTTATCATAATAGTTTCAAATACCATATTTGGATTTCCCACCCTCAACACTGTTATGATGGGGATCAAGCTCCAACATGAGCTTGGGGGTGGAGGGGGGACATTCAAACCATAGCACCGGGGAAGTTTTCATGGCCAGGCCTAGAAGCTGTGTACATTACATCTGGTCACATACCTGGAACATTATCCTGGGTTATCTAGGTGGATCCTAAATGCTATCACAAGTGTTCTTATAAGAGAGATGCAGAGGGAGACAGACAGAAGTTCTTTCTTCCATATTATATTTCCCTTACATTGATCTTTAATAGATATATCTTGCCAACTTGATAGAATCCTTACTTGGAAGTTTTTTCTGAATATCTATTATAAGTTCTATGCTAGGCCCTGAATAAACATAGGCAAATGAGACACAATCTCTGCCTTCAGGAAGCATGCAGTTCAGGACAAGGGTCATATTTATTTTTTATCTCATATCCCAAGAGCATTGTTGGACACACATGTAAGGTGGTGGTTAATACTGTTAATTATTCAGTTAATAGCTACTATACATCTAGCTTAAAAGAGTTAAAAGAGTTTATATTTGCCAAACTTGTCTTCTCAGCTGCTCGAGGAGTTCCGCTTAGAACCTTAAATTACTGGTTTGGCCCTGCAGGAATGTATGTCATTACTGGAGAGGGGAACATGTGCACTCCACAGATGCCTTGTCCAGGTAAGTTATGGCAGGGAGGTTCTTTCAGGGAGGTGGAAAAGTATGCCAGAGGTGCACAGATTTATTTACTGTAGGCTTGCCTCCAACTCTGCTACAGGAGAAGCAGCAGAGGTCTGGGGGGTCCGAAAATGGTTGAGTCCATGTCTTTGTTTCCAGACTGAATACCAGTGGCAAGTCGGCAAGTGACTGGGCTTCGGTTTCAGCTTACTTTTAACGATTAAGTACAAACATGAAGATACCTGGGCAACTCCCATTAGTGGGAAGGGTCACTTCCTGCTTACAGCCTGAGCAGAAAGTATATGCTCCTACCCCCTTCCCATTTTACACTAGCATAGCCATCATTCCTGTGCCTTGCCCTTCCACCTCACAAGGACTAACACCCTGAGCTTCATGCCCTGTACCCTTTAACAGTTGACCACGGCTACTGAGTCAGGTTTCTGGGAAATGATAGTTCAGTGATTCTCAAATGTGGTCCATTGCCTACTAGCGGACCACACAGGGTCTCCTAACACTGCCAGCAGACTCCAAAATGCAGGCCTTTTCTTGGGTTCTCCTTGGAGCATGATGTGAATGTCCGTGGGCTTTTAGTTTTATATACAACTTATTTGTAACCTTATAGTTACCTTGGTTTTTAAAGGTTATTAAAATCTAATATTCATAGTATAAAAATAAGTGTTACCAGGGTTTAAAATTTTTTTTTATTGAGGTGAAATTCACATAACATTCAATTAACCATTTTAAACTTGTATAATTCAAGGCTATTTAGTGTATTCACAATGTAATATAACCACCAGATCTCTGAAGTTTCAGAACATTTTCATTACCCCATACCCACTAAGTAATTACTCTCTTTTGCCCCCTCTCCCCATCCCCTGGTATCCTCTATTCTGCTTTTGGTCTTTATGGAGTCATAAAAGGAATCATACAATATGTGACCTTTTGTGTTTGGCTTATCTCACTTAGGATAATGTTTTCGAGGTTTCTACAAGTTGTAGCATGTAGCAGTACTTAATTCCTTTTTGTCGCTGAATAATGTTCCATTGTACATGTACCACAATTTGTTTATTCATTCATCTATTGATGGATATTTGGCTTGTTTCCACCTTTTGGCTGTTATGAATAGTAGCTGCTATAAACATTCATATCTAAGTTTCTATGTGGACATATGTTTTCATTTCTCTTGGATATATACCTAAAAGTGGAACTACTGGATCATATGGTAATTCTACATTTAAGTTTTTGAGGAACCACCAAAACGTTTTCCAAAGTGGCTACACTATTTTACATTCCCACCAGCAATGTACAAATATTCCTATTTCTCCACATCCTCATCAACACTTATTTTCCTCTTTTTTTAAAAAAATTATATTTTGGGGGTAAAGTGGTATCTCATTGTGGTTTAAGTTTCATATCCTTAATAAACAGTGATGTTGAGCATCTTTTCATGTGCTCATTTATCACTTGTTTATCTTCTTTGGAGAAATGTTTATTCAAGTCCTTTGCCATTTTTAAACTGGGTTGCTTGTCTTTTTGTTGTTGAGTTGTAAGCATTCTTTTTATATTCTGGATATTAAACCCTTATCAGATATAGGGTTTTCATATATTCTTTAGGTTATCTTTCACATTCTTGATAATGTTCTCTGATGCACAAAAGTTTTAAATTTTTATCAAATTTATCTATGTTTTCTCTTGTTGCTCGTGCTTTTGGTGTTGAATTTAAGAATCTATGGCCAAATCCAATGTCATGAAGATTTATCCCTGTGTTTTCTTATAAAAGTTTAATAGTTTTAGCTTTTACATTAAGAGCATTGATTCATTACAAGTTAATTTCTGTCTATTGAGTGAGGTTAAGGAAAACTTTATTCTTCTACATTTGGTTATCTAGTTGTCCCAGCAGCATTTTGTTGAAGAGACTATTTTTTTCTGTTGGATGGTCTTGGCATCCTGTTAAAAATCAACTGGTCATAGATATTTGGGTTTATTTCTAGACTCTCAATTCTATTTCACTGGTCTCTAAGTCTGTCCTTATGCCAGTGTCACACTGTTTTGATTACTATAGTTTTGTAATAAGTTTCAGAATAGGGAAGTGTGAGTTCTCCTTCTTTGTATTTCTTTTTAAATTTTATTTTGGCTATTCATGATCAGTTTCAGATCCATATGAGTTTGAGGATCAACTGTTTCATTTCTGGAAAAAAAGCCATTGGGATTTTGGTAGGGATTACATTGAATCTGTAGATCACTTTCAGGATTATTGCCATCCTAACTTTATATTAAGTCTTTCAGTCCATAAACATGGAATGTCTTTCTATTCATTTAGGTCTTCTTTAATTTCTTTCAGTAATGTTTTGTAGTTTTCAGCACACAAGGCTTTAATCTCCTTGGTTTCATTTATTCCTAGGTACTTTACTCTTTTAGATGCTATTATAAATGTAATTGTTTTCTTAATTTTCTTTTGGAATTGTTTATTGTTGGAACTAGGATTTAAAAAATTAAACTCTTTATTTTGAGATAATTATGGATTCATATGTAGTTTTAAGAAATAATCCAGAGGGATCCCTTGGACCTTTTACCCAGTTTCTCCCACTGGTAACACCTTGCAGAACTATAGTACAATATCACTACCAGGATATTGACATTTGATAAGTACAGAACATTTCCATCACCCCAAGAATCCCTCATGTTGTTGTTTTTTTTATAGCTATACCTACTTCCTTACCAGACAGACTCCCTCCTTAACCCATGGCAACTGCTAATCTGTTCTCCTTTGTGTGTGTGTGTGTGGGGAGGGGGCTGGCCAGTACAGGGATCAAACCCTGTACTTTGATATTATTGTACTGTGCTCTAACCAACTGAGCTAAATGGCCAGCCCCCTGTTCTCCGTTTCTATAATTTTGCCATTTCAAGAATGTTATATAAATGGAATCATACAGTATGCAACCTTTTGGAATAGGCTTTTTTCACTCAGTATAATTCTCTGGAGATTCATGCAGGTTGTTGTATGTATAGATAGTTCATTTTATTGTTAAGTATTATTTCATGGTATAGATATACGCTCATGTATCACTTAATGATGGGGATACTTTCTGAAAAATGTGTCGTAGGCAATTTCATTGTTGTGCAAATATCATAGAGTGAACTTAGGTGAACATAGATGGTATAGCTTACTACACACCTAGGCTATATGGTATAGCCTATTGCTTCTATACCACAAGCCTCTATAGCATGTTACTGTACTGAATACTGTAGGAAATTGTGTTTGTATTTCTTGAGGTTTGTCTTATGGGCCAGCATATGGTCTATCTTAGTATATTATTCTGCTGTCACTAGATGGAGTGTTCTAAAAATGTCTATCAGATTGTGTTAGTTGATAGGGTTGTTGAGCTCTTCTATATACTTGCTGATGTTCTGTCTCATTCTAACAATTGTTGACAGAGGGTTGTTGAAGTCTACAACTGTCATTGAGGATTTGTCTATTTATCTTTTCAATTTTATCAGTTTTTGCTGCACATTTTATAGCTCTGTTGTCTGTTTTATACACATTTGTTGTTACACATGTGTTCCATGTCTTCTTAGGGAATTGACATTTTAATCATCATGTAGTATCCCTCTCTATCTCTAGTAATTTCTTTGTTCTGAAGTCTATTTTAACTGGTATTAATACAGTCATTCCTGCTTTTCCTTTATTCATGTTTTCTGTGTATATGTGTTTTCATCCTTTTACTTTTAGCCTGACTATATTGCTATGTGAGGGTCCTTCAAAAAGTTCATGGAAAGAAAGAATTGAAAGATAATATGAATCTTTTCATGGACTTTTTGAAGTACCCTCGTACTTGAAGTGGGTTTCTGTTAGACATTATATAGTTGGATCGGACCGGGGACCGGCGACGGGATCGCAAGCCTCGGCGTTGCTCCCGTGCCTCGCTCAGCCAGTGAGCGGGAGCCGGTCTGTACGTGGGATCCGAACCCTCGGATGGGAGCGCTGCCGCGCTTCCCAAGCGGCGCACTATCCAGTGCGCCACCGGGCCGGCCCAATTTTAACTGGTATTAATACAGTCATTCCTGCTTTTCCTTTATTCATGTTTTCTGTGTATATGTGTTTTCATCCTTTTACTTTTAGCCTGACTATATTGCTATGTGAGGGTCCTTCAAAAAGTTCATGGAAAGAAAGAATTGAAAGATAATATGAATCTTTTCATGGACTTTTTGAAGTACCCTCGTACTTGAAGTGGGTTTCTGTTAGACATTATATAGTTGGATCATGTTTTTAAATCTACTCTTCTAATTATCTGTCTTTTGGTTAGTATGTTTAGGCCATTTACATTTAATGTAATTATTAATATGTTAGGACTTAAGTCTACCATTTTATTTTTTGTTTTCTGTGTGTTTTCTCCATTTTTGTGTTTATTTGTTTCTTGGTTTCCTTTTTTCTGCTTTCCTGTGTGTTATTTGAACATTTTTTAGAATTCCATTTTTATTTATATTTCATGGTTTTGGGTGTATCTCTTTTTTATATTTATTTCAGTTGTTGCTCTAGATATAGTGTGTTATGTACACCTAACTTAATACTGTGTATGGGTATTATCATTTCACAAGTTCAAGTAAAGTGTGGACATCTTATTTCCCCTTTCCTTTCCCATTTATAATAGTATTAGATATTTTCTCTACATACATCTAGAACCACATCATATGGGTGAAAGTCTAGGCAACCCACTTGGCCACAGTTTTTCCTGTGGTGTTTGAATGTAGTAGAATGGTTATTGTCTAAATGTTGTCTTTGTTGCTAGGCTGCCACTTGCCCAGTCCTTTGACATCTCTTCACCTTTCAGAGCCTTATGTTTGTTTTATATATAATGTCCAGGGTTTTTAGTTGTTTCTAGTGGGAAAAATAGGGAAAAGTATGTGTGCTGCATCTTCTCAGAAGCAGAAGGCTGCTAGGGTTTTATTATATACTCTAATTCAGTATTTTTCTGTGAAGTCTGACCGAATTGCATAACTGTCAT